CTGTGAAATATGCAGATGACCTTGTGTTAATGGCTAAGGAAGAAACTGTGCTACAGGGCATGATTGATAGACTAATTGAAATTGGAAGGTGCTATGGCATGGAAATGAATGTGGAGAAAACAAAAGTAATGAAAATTTTGAGACAACCAACCCCAGTAACAATAAAGATAGGCATAACTACTTAACAAGGCCTCTAGTTTAGATTTCCTGTTGTTATTTTACAAGTAGCTGATATTAAAATCCCCACATATTATGAATTCTGAGTTAAATTTATGTAGAGTTGACAATAAAATCCAGTTTGTTTAAAAAGTAGTCAAAATCAATCTATATATACACACAGAGCAATTATCCTTACTTTACTGAGCTCTAATTTAACAGCTGCAATTTCAAAATCCTTTTCTTTAGAAAATTTTTTGCAAATTAAAACCAGTGAAATTATAATCCTCATAAACGAACATACAGACACTACCTTTTGCGTGCTTCTTCCTACAATAACCAGCACCAAATTTGTAATTAGGTATATGAGTACCATCCAGTTCATATACGTTTAAATGATGTTCTGATAAATTATGCTAGGTTCATCATTTACTAAAGAAAGCATTAATTCATTTATTTTACCTTTCATACCATTTACATTTTGATGAAATATCTTGAAGGAGACATTTAAGTCATCACTCTTCTTAATCTTATTCCTTGAACATTCTAGTCTATTTCAATAAACATCTACCATAAAAAATCCTTACTTCTTGAGATGGTATACATGGGGTCTATCTACTTCTTTGCCATGCATTTCCTGTTCTATGTTATGTGAGAAGTTTTTTTCATTTCTAATTATACCAATATGATCACTGTTCGGCATTAAGGAATCCCTATCAAGGACAAGTTCAAGATTTTAACAATTTTATTATGAATATCAGATTTCTCTTCCTCCGTTGCATTTGTATAGGAGTGGGTGTTTCCTTTTTTAGGCACTGTTTTACTAATCTGGATAATTCTAAAGAAACTAGCTTTTTGCCTTTATTGTTTAAATGTTGGCAGTGTCTAGTAAAGTGATCCCTTTGAACTTCCACATTTAAAAGCTTAACGTGCCCATGTAGCTTAATTATTTTCTTTAACTGTCTATTAAATTTATTCACTTCCTTGTTAACATAGGAGGTCTGCATAAGATCATGCCTAGGTAATGAGTTTATCAACATCATTTTCACCTCATCATTAGCGGACATGAAGCAAGATAAATTTCTTAGAGCGTCTTTAGAATTGTTTCTCCTGATGTCGTTTGCTCCTGCCCACAAAATCACCACATCTTCCTGTTTTAAGTGCAGATACTTTCTTATCAGCTGTCTTAATGATCTCGCTGGATAAGGCTCCTGGTTTAATAAAACCACAGACTTCATACTTGTGATCAAGATTATGTCGAAGATCTAATGCACACTTTTTGACACGACTATTGCCAATTAACAACACTTCATAGTAGCCTGTCTTAACACTTCTTGCCAACTGATTAATACAGGATGGGGCACAGAAACTTCCTTTTTTTGAAGGTGATAAGACAAAATTTATGTTTAACTAATGAAAGAACATACTTTAAAGTTTTAAATCATGTAGTTTTAAACAAAATATCTTGAAGGTGGTGGCCACCGTTCTCTATGCACTGATGCAACCGTTGTCTGAAGTTCCCCTCTGTACGTTCCAATATGTGCACTGGAATTTTGGCTATTTCCTGCCGAATAACATTCTTCGGCTAAAGCAGGTTTGTGGGGCAATGTTTAAAAACCTCTGCCTTGGGGTATCCCCACAAAAAAAAATCACAGGGTGTTAGATCAGGTGAGCGCGCTGCCCACAGGATGTCACCTTGAAGCGAGATGAGGTGCCCGGGAAACTTTGCCCTCAAAACTGTTATCGAAGCTCGGGCTGTGTGGGCCATGGCACCATCCTGTTGGAACCAGACATTTCCTATATGCATTTCTTCAAGAGCTGGTTCGAAAAAGTTTTTAATCATTTCACATACCGCTGTGATTTGACAGTAACTGCATGACTGTCTTCTTCAAAAAATAAGGGCCAATAACTCCAACTCTCGACAGCGCACACCATACTGTCACCTTATCACTGTGATGTGGCCTCTCATGGAGCTCTCTGGGATTGTTACCATTCCAATAGCACTTATTCTGCTTGTTGACATATCCGGATAGGTGAAAATGTGCCTCATCACTAAAGAAAACAAGTGTGTCAGGGGGTAAAGTTTCCAATAACGTTTTGCACGCCGTTATTCGGTTCTGGAAATCACCTGGTGACAATTCTTGCACAACAACCATCTTATAGGGATGGAAATGAAGGTGTGTGTGAAGAATTCGGCGCATTGAACGATTGCATATGTCTAGGGCGAGTGCCTGTTTGCGAGCGGAGCGTCTTGGAGATCTCAAAATCGACTGTTCAACTGCCTCCACATTTTCTGGCATCGTAATGGTCCGTTTTCATCCTGATGATTTTTTCACCACACTCCCAGTTGTCCTAAAGTTCTCTACACACAAAACAATCGATTTCAGGTCAGGAACCAGAACTCTGGGCTTAATTCTGGAGTGAGTACGGAACGCATGCTGCACTGCCACGTAGGAATGGTTGTTCGAAAAATAGGCTTCGACAGCAAAAGCACGCTGCTCACTCATCCACCTCATGTTTCCTACTGAGGGGTATTAAGACAGATTCCGAGACTGCTGCGTTCGCCGAGCCTATCCCCACTTTTCTGCGACCTCCCCTCCCTTCACAATGTGTCTTCACAAAAAGGAAGTTTCTGGGCCCCACCCGTACCTTTTACATGAGAACTATTTAAAAATTGAATTTTGTCGTCCTTGGATAATACACCCGTGTCGTCGTCATCCTTGAGGTTAGCAGGAACCTCAAATCTATTTTGTGAAGCGGGAACTAACTGAATCAGATTGCTGTTCAGATCGTAGTTTTTGAAGTTTGATTGTGTCCATCCTCCCTGTAGAAATTGAATATTAGAACATTCATTAGCCAGTTTTCGTTGTACTGAATTTACTGTTCAGCTGAACTTGAGTAGCATCAATTGCAGAGAACCTACACAACCTGGACTTGGGAATTTTTTGGCTTTTTTCCGATTTCCTAAAGTATCCTGCTGACATTCTCTCCTTTCAGCTTACAAATTTCCTCTCTAGCTGCCTTGAATTCTTTTCCCAAGTGCCTGATTCTCTCCTCCTGTTGCTTCATATGATTCTGGTACTTACATGGGACACAATACCATGGCCTGCTCCTGTCTGGTATACTGGGGCTAGTGCTTGCAGTTTAAATGGAAACAGTACCATCAGTCTGTACAAATTAGCCCACTAGTGACCAGACTACAACAACCTCCACATTTACCAGGAAGGCTATTTGTACCTGACATCATTATTAATATATTCCTTATTTGCTAGACGCTATTAATGAAACTTCAGAAACACAATTTGAACAAATTCTTTTAGGGTGACTCCCTGTACAGATTCGATCGTCAGGAGTTAAGATCTCAAATTCCTGTCCACTTCATTTGTATATCACCAAACGAATACAGTAACACATTATCTGACTAATAATTTTATTACTTATGTTCAACACTTCGGGAATAAGAAACCAAGAGAAAAAACACTATTGTGATACATTTCACTCGAAATCACTTTTTGATGCACTTTTCTATGAAATCGGTAGTCGACTTCCAATTCCAGTAATAATCCAGATACAATAAACATCAGTACACTCACACAAATAACAAACTAGAATATCATATTACAATAGAGAATTATTACAGAAACACGTACAATAACTCTGTTCCAGTGACCTAAGCGTAGCATGTAGCCTAATATGGCGTCATGAATGTCATGAACGACTACCAACGCTTATTCCGCCACACAGATCAACGCATAAGCCCCTCACGCACTTCGATGGTATTGGTCGACAAGGTAGCCGTCGTGACCGGTCGTGACGTCGCCCACACGGCCCACAGCATGGCATGAAATTTAGCATGGCCAAAGCCGCCGAAGCTAAGCTGGATACTGTTGTTGAATTACTAACGTCGCATACTTTAACGAGAAAATCCGCATGAGAATGTATTCTTGACAGGATTTATGGAAGCTGAATACAGCTTCGTTCTCTCTCGTTCTTTGTCGTTCGCATACAGCGAACGAGAAAGAACGATGGTCGGTCAACGACCGAATTCAGTTAATGTGTACCAATGTGTCTGTTGTCCATTTCGCTGACAGGGCGGTTCATCAAAAGAAACTCGTGCCCACTGTGGACGGGAAATATTACAACCGTTTGCTATTCCCCTCATGGGAAGACTTGTAGCCACAGGCAAGGAATTTTTTATTGTATGGCCTCCCTTATGATCTGGATGATGCAATGCAAGAATCAAAACAAATTCCTACATACAAAAATAACAGAGCTCGGTATATACATATAAGTTCGTCTGTGCATAAAAGTATACTAGGAACTCAACCTTCATAACGATATCACATAGAATTAAACACTCAACCTCTAGCTCTCTCTCTCTCTCTCACTCTTTCCTGTTACTCGCACTTGGGAGCACAGGGTATCCCTGAAAAACTTCGTTTCACAGCAGTTTCTTAATCCTAAGACAATCGGTAGGACTCTTCAGGCCGCTACCTATGTTGGACAACAGAAACACAGAATAAACGCAGACAGACATCCATGCCTTGAGTGAGATTCGAACCCGTCATCCCAGTGTTCCTGCAAGTGAATACAGTTCATGCCTTAGGCAGCGCAACCACTGTGATCAGCTCAACCTCTATCATAAACTTTTCAATCATGATTTATTGCCGATACTACACAGTATTACAATGGTTACAACAAATAAAACGACAGACTGATTGGTCTTTCAAGGTGGTTCAAGGCATGAATCATGTTGAATGCATACTGCTGCTTTGTTATTGGATGAGCTAGGGCTTCGGCAATTATTGAAAACAATAATGAAAGATCATGAACTGAATAACATGAATGATTCCAGAGTACTTATTTCAAGTAATCGGATGCAGCTCTTTCATTAAAATGTTGCCGATCCTTCAGTTTATATGTACGCCTGAAAGCCTGATATGATTTTCTTCTAACAGGTCCACAAGGTTAGCATTGTTTTGGTTAAAACATTAATACCTAAAAACCTTTCAAGGCTAAGCTTTCGGTTTGTTAAAAAATGGGGGAAAGCTCGATACACTAACATGACACATAACATGGCAGTAATATCAGAAAGTTGCTAGGGTCACCTGTTGAATATGTATGCACCATTTCAGAAATTCAGGAATCCCAAAGTTACAAATATTTAAAAATGTACTAAAATACGATATTTCTAAGTTCTGAAAAATTTTAATTACCAGAACTGAAAAAATTTTTGGAACTTGGAAGTTGTTTTTTTTTAATATGGATCCATATTACAAAAAAAGTTCTGCACCTAAGCACAAATAAAACACCAAATAGTGACCCAATAAGGGTCAAAACATGTCATGTTTTAAGGTTTTAATATAAAAAGTAAAGTAAAGCTATCCCTGTAACAGGCAGTGGAGGCCCATAGGGTTGTGAGACGTTGAGGCTCCCACATTATCTAGACAATTGGCTCAAAGATGGAGGTAAGATTGTCAGCCTTACACGCTGGCTGTGCTTTACTCCCCAGGAAAATTATTTAATTCCTGGTACTCATTTCTGTTAGAGACTGAGTCAACCCCAGGGCCATAGTGAGGCCGGAAGGATTAGGTCAATTGAAAAAAATCCAATGACCTCATTGGGACTTGAACCCGTGACCTTCCAGCTTGTAGCATATTGCCTCAACCAACTACGCTACTGCATGCCCCAAAGTTTTAATGTAAATAATACATATGTGTGTATTTTTATAAGAAACTGTTGTAAACAGATTTAAAAATAATCAATGTACATACCACAACAGGATGCAACACAGAGATATGAAAGGTACATCTAACAGTTATGGCAGACTTCTTGCATACGAACATAAGACAGCCATGAAGGAAGACGGTGACAAATCTTTTCCTTTTACTTCAACACAAAGGAAACTCACATACTGCATATACTATTCAGAAACACCAAACTTGAAATTGGGAGGGGGGGGGGAAGACAGAAGAAAGAAAGTGTGGACAAAACACTGTAAAAATAATAAACTTCCTTTATGACATTTCCAAATTTATTTCAAAATCTGTCATTTACATCTGTTTCCCACCTATGACAATATAATTATGACAGTATGAATCAATGTTTCAATTTACTACACTTGGTAACATTACTTTTCAATGCACACAGAGGTTCTGTACAGGATATTTCATCTGCAGAAATATAATAATGAAAAGTATTTTTATTTACTGAAGGATCTAAGTGAAAGCAGCGGTATTCTTCATGTACACGGTAGTACGAAACATGCTGTTTTAAAACACAGAAATTAACACCAGAGGAAATCTACTAAGTCCTGAATCTAAATATTAACTGGTAAAACCTGGTTACAAGGAGCCCAGACTAAGACTGCATTTATAAAAAAATTAATGCACTGTAAAATCCAGAGTTAACTCACAACTTCCAAGTTCATGCTACCTTTAATTTTCTCCAGTGTGTTCTACATTGTTTACTTAACACTTTCACTGGCAGCTACTCACACACCACTGTTTTCCTCACATCACTTTCCATGTACATGGGAAACAACATTCTGAACACCACTTTCTCTGGTACTACTGCAATTTATCAGTATTTTAACCATTTTACAAAGTCTGAATGGAGACGTTCTGGAAATGTAACATCCTTTTTATATGTACTGCAGGAAAAGTGTTAACATATTCAGAATTTCAAGAGTAGTAATGATGAACAAACTACCTGGAAGCCTAGCAATAAAGTGTGAGTTACAAATTTAACACTGGTAAATTACATTCATAAAGACTCAATGACAGTTAAAGAATTAAACAGTAGTTCCCAATAGTGTATTCAAGTATGAGAATAAAGTTTGTAATCTTCCAGCTGAAGGGCATGTTCCTGGTCACATTATAAACAAAACAACACAACCCATAATTCCTTACTTTTGCATGTAACTCCAAATAATGTAGATATGCAAGAAGCTTCATTCACATATGATGAACTACAGTTTTCTGAACATAATAAAGTTTTCAGGCTCTCATGACTGTAAATTTCATCTTCTTGTATGTGATGCCATGATCTACCACAAGACACACAGTGGCACATCCCCAAAGACTGTATACTCTTAAACAAACTTGACAATGAACGTTCTTACTTAGTGTTATGTGTCTGTAGTAAGAATTAGTGTGGCTGCAGGCACCATGATACCAAGACCAAGAGAGTTATATGGGAGATCCTGGAACAGACAGATACTAAGGTCTGGTTCCTGACACCACACACCAATTCACATGCAGGTAACATCTCCTTGGAAAGAGTGTCACTGCAGATATGGCACAGTCCCTAGAAGTTTTAGGTTGTCATGTACAGCCTCAGCATCTTCATTCCTTCATCATTAACTCCTTCAGGGGCTATACTGTATAAACATGCATAAACAGAAATGTAATACATTACCTTATCTATGGCATAAATACTACTCCAGATTTCTAAAGAAGTGGTCATTATCAACAAGGGATGTTGTACTGAACAGAATATTATAACCAGGTTTTACTGCAGTTATGACATGACTGACATAATTCAGTCATATCATATATCTATTAACAAACTTCCTTGTTATATATTTTACTAAGTGACATCTCCTTTTATCATTTATTAAAAAGATACATGACTCATCTATTACCCCTATTTATGCATTTCATTATTGGATTGCACTTAACTCACTTTACAACATATACTTCTAAATCCAAACAACAGTGCAATATACACTACAGGACAGAGGCATAGGAGCTTCTGTAAATAGCTGACCATTATCCTCACATTAATGCTGTAGTTTAACTTGCTAGTAGAGTATATACACACAAAACAAAACTTTCTTGGACAAACTGTGGCCTGCACTGTATTCAACATACTTACATAAACCAAGAGACAACGCAGTCATACTCCGTGTATACATATAACATGACTATAAACCATACACATTAAATAATTTTTATGTCCAATCACATTGTACTGACCATACCCCCTCCCCCAAATGAAAAATGTGACCAATTACCTATTTATTTTATCATATTAGTAATAACTGATATATATTACAAGCCTATACCACTGTAATCTGAATCTGCTTTTAAATAATCAATATTGAAACACACCAAAGATAAATGATTTTATTAGGGCATGAAGATGTCAAATGTTGGGGTGACCTTTCCTCTGACTCAGCATCTCCACCAAACTCAGGTTACTTCATTACAGGGAATAGAACAAAATGTTATTTGTAGGAACTTAATTCCCATAAACAAGTCAAGGGAAAAATCTTAATAGTTCTCAGTATCTGGATTTTAAATTGTGTAATTAATTCCTATTCATGGTTTCCTTTCTTCAGAAACTAACTCATCTGATTTCACTTACATCCACAATGGGATAAACATTGCAGGAAACAACATGAATCCATATGCAGACAATAAACTATGATTCTCCTAATCACAGGAGCATTTATGACAACATTCAATTTATGTTTATCGTCTCATTTACAAACCGAAAATCCTGTACTTATATTGAAAGTTACTGACAATCCACAGAAGAATGCTTGCTGACATTGACAGAAAGCATATTACAAACCTGGTCTTCTTAACTGGTCACTTTCAGAGTCCTAAAGCAGGAAGAGAGAAGTCCAGTTGTCTTCTCATGTCAAAAGCTTTTATGATCTTCACTCAGAGATGCCACTCCCGAATTAGCCCCTTACAATAAAACGAGCCAACGTTCCCTCCAATGTGGTGTTTGAACCAGTCAAAATTCTAAGTCAAGAGGAAGGTGATTATCAAGTATTATGAAAAAACAATATAGTATTTGCTTGTCACTTCCATCCTCAAGCCCACCAGCTTCCACTGTCTTGCTGAATACCATCATCAGTGACAAGATATGATGGTATCTTCTGCATACATTCAGTGAGCATACATAAACTTTCAATCCGAAAAGCTTTAAAGATGCATAACAACAGCAAAAAATCTCCTTCGCAGGGGATTACTTCAGCATAACAGCAGTTAACAATCCTGCTGTAAGTGAATTAAAGGTCTATATTTGGTCATCTACTTGTGTGCTTAATGGAGAGAACAGGGAGCAGGAAGTGGACATAAAGCTTAATATGTATCGGTCACTTTGTTTTACGTTGCTTTCCAGTTGGTGGGTATGTATGTGGACTTGGAGGAGGTGGAGGTGGTGCAAACTGAACAGTGGTGGTAGTGGTGGTAGTGCTGTGGTGATGCTGATGATACATTGGAGTGAAAACCGTGGCAGACCCTGCAGAGGCTGTGGCTCCCCCCTCAGTTCCAGGTAACACTGCAATGGAAATGTGTGAAAAATAACATGGGAACTTCCATTAAATGGCTACATTTCAGAATTATGCATCTTGCCACGAACAAATTCTGGTGATAAGATTTCAGAGATTTTGTACAAAATCCATACTGGTGATGAACATAAAATAACTGAGTATGGACAAAAGCATACTTGAAAAATTAAATGTGGTATTTCTAAGAATTCTATACACTCACCTGTGTAGGTTGCAGGCTGTGAATATACATATCCTGAGGGGGGGTATCCAGCAGGGAATGCTGGAGGGTACACTGGCGGAGGAGGTGGTGAGCCCGGTGGAGGTGGGGGAGGAGAAATGTCATCATCATCGTCGTCATCATCATCCTCAACATTTATTTGCCGAATAATCTTCACCTGTAGCAGTTACATCCTACAGTTAATATGTGGCTACACAACTATACATTGAAATCTCACTATCATAAATGCCAGTAAATCAAAAGTATTTCATTATAATATCAACAAAAATACAATATGCAACAAATCTTCCAAATTATATGTTATGCTGGGATTCCGCATATGCATTTATGTAATGCAGTTCTTTTAATACACTGTAGTCTCTAAGTTATGTTATAATAAAATCCAGTTCAAACCCATTACGATATATACCAAATATCCTTTACAGTACTGTCACTTAGTCAAGCAAACATCAGTATTTAAAATGTACCAACATACAGCACTTCACACAGAATGTGCACTGTTAAATACCACAACTAGACAATTCAAACAAAATCTTTACAAAGAGACTGACTTTGGAGCTGATTATAGTGTTAAGGCTGAAGCACCATCATGTCATCTAGTAAAAGGTCTTAGAAATGATTCATGTGAACAATTATTCCGTATTCCGTATTGAGGGGGTGGGTTTCCCCATGCACTTAGACCGGTTACTGGTCCATTGTGCGTCCCCCTTTAATTTCTACTGTCTCCATACCCTACCGGTAATGGTGCTTACTATCAATCCCTTTCTGCCAGCGAGGTTCCAACCTCTTACTGGCAGTGGTATCTAATAGTTAGTCCCTTTCTGTCAGCGAGGTCATCCCTCCTCTGGCAGGGGTTCCTAGTCCTTTCTGCCAGCAAGGTTTCTACCCTCTACTTGGCAGTGGTATCTAATACTTTAGTCCCTTTCTGTCAGAGAGGTTGTAAACAATTAAGTCATATATAAATTTATATGAAAACTCATAGTGGCCAAGTATCTTAACAATCAGCATAACGAGATCAATATGAATGAATATAATTCATAAGCTCTGTGCATTTATTACTTATACTGATATGAAATATGTTTCTCTTGCTTTATATCTCATATTTTATGCACCAAGTGAACACATACAGGGAAGATCATATCTGTCTGCATGGTACATCTCCTAAACGGCAGAACAAATCCTGATAAACGCTGGTGCTAGGGTGATGGCATGAAATGTTGTCAAGCAAATGTAATTTTGGTTGATGCTGTTAACATAAAATCCAGTTTTACATGAAGGTCAAATCAAACTCAGATGTTCTAAGGAGGGCTCATCATGCAAAACACTTCTTCATAACATAAAATACAAATATCATTACCAATTTACAAATTTAGTTCAGCAGGAGGAGGTGAAGAGGGAAGACGGGGAGAAGAAGCAAAAGAAGGATTAATACTTCAGCATCTTATTGACTTTCACTATCAGATTTCTTGAAGATTAGCACAGACACTTTCACATGAGACTGGAACACCCACTTGCAATGATAAGGCAAAATTGTGTGTGTGCACATGTGGTGAGCTCTGTCTCCCTCACATGAAATGGTCATGTTGATTATATGAACCAACCAAGATCACTTCCTTCAGTTGTGATCTGTTTTTGACTGTCAAGATCTTATGGATTTGCTGGCAAATAAAAATTATTGCATACAATACGATTACAGTGTATGCAAAAAGAATATAACAAATATGAATTAACGAATTCCTCATACAATTTATCAGACTCCTGAAGTAACATTCTCCCTCATGGAAAGTCAAGTTGAAATAGCACATGAATGAGAGCCTCAAAAATGGAACAAATGATGCTCAAAATAACAGTATAAAATTAGTCAGATTGAAGCAAGCTGTCATTTTAAATAAACAAAATGCAGTTCCTGATCAGAATATAAATAAAATACAAATGTCAAAAGGATTTGCACCACAGCTGATGATATGTATTTATATGTGCAATGTCTGTAAACATTCACACTTAATCAAAAATTTTCAACACAGAGCATTAGTAATTAGTTATGGAGTTGTATTACAAAAACTGTATAGAAAAAGCAAAGCCTTACGCTGCTACTGTGGACAGTGAAGAGAAGGCTGTGTTTTGTTAAATTTATTGGTGTATATACTTTCTGAAATACAGCTGTAATTAGAAGGAGCTGCATGTTCTGCCCTGCCTCTGATAAACAGATTTTACACTGAATGCCTGTTATACAAACTGTAACTGCTACTGGTTAAATAAATGTATGCAACAGCACGAAGAATGACAAAAATTCTGTCATTTCAGGAAATATTTTAGATTAAATATACATACAAAAAATCATCACTGCAGATAATAGTAACACTTCATATTCATCAACACACACTAACCTCTGTGGTCCCAAACTTAAAATTTACCAAGGAGGATTATATTGCTTCTTTTTTTTTTCACATTACACATACTACAGAGTCTCAATGTCTATGCTCAGTACTTGAAATTTTACTCCCATGTGAAAGAATCTACACATATTGATATCTAAAGTATACATAGCTAGTATCAATAATAAGCAAAAAGTTTAAGACATACCATTACCTTAATTTTCTTCTTCTTCCTTTTCTTAAACCTCTTTTCCTTTGGAAGCTTCCGTGGCGGTGGTGGAGGTGATGGCAGATCTTCCCCTGCTGAAGGTGAAGTGCCCTCCCCAGGCCGCACACCATCAGCAAACTTGACTGACTTCCTTCCTTCATTTTCCCCAGATACTGACTTCTCTCTATGAGAATAATTTTGAACAATTATACTGAAGAAACTGAGGAAACAGTTGTAGTAAAATGGAAGAAATAGTCTTATAAAAATTCTACACACAAATGCTATGAATGTCCTGAGGCAGTCAGCCTGTGACTACACTAGTCTTGTATTTCACCAACCTGCATTTTCATACAGATGGATATGACAAAGTATAAAACTTTAAAAAGGTAAACTACTCCCTTAAGATGTATGGGGAGATGGAAGTAAAGCTCCACCATTCTTGACCTTGGCTCAAGATGGAGCTGAGTGGTCAACTTCACATCCTGGCTTTTACTCCTGGGGAGAGAGCCCGAAGTACCTATTGTACAGCAGGCTGGGTGGGCCCCAGATGCTGTGGAGTAGAGAAAAATCCTTTCCCACTGTCAGGAATCGAACCCTGGCCATCTAGCCCATAGCATGTCACTATACCAACTCTATGTAAAACTTTAAGGAAAAGCAGATGTTTAAAAAGAATAGTCATTTTAAAAAATATAACGATAATATATCACTATTTAGCATTTAGTAAATGGATGCTACATAGTTTTATGACTTCAGAGGACACATTTACTTTTTGTCACTAAAAGATTTGCATCTCAACAACAGAAAGTTAACATCATTTGGCATTCCATACGATGAATTACCTGACTAAACATTTTCACTTACAATAACCTTATTTACTCACCTACTGTATTCATCCAAACAATGAAACAACCTCAGACATAAGAAAATTCAGTTACACAGTAAAAATTTTTATGGGAGAATAATTTTATAATGTGTCCACATAAAATTATTATGTCCTATCCTCTGGCACAAAATAAAATTTCCTTCCCTGTCTTTTCAAAATGCTTTTCTAGTAAAACTTGCACCTAATAATTGTGTGTTTTGTTTCAAGACATATCAGTTTTGAAAGACATTGTACATGTCTAAATAAAATTCAGTTCTAAAAGATGGGGAAGACAGTTCAAATTAGGCAGTATTTTCAATCTAAAACAAGGTTTTACTATACTATCGGTTTTCTCATAAACCCTTCACTGGACATGCAGGTTTCAAGAGATGCTGATGAGGAGGAAAAATTCTCAGATTCCATTTTCAAACAAATAACAAAGAAGCACACACAATACTAATTTCTGAGATCTGGGTGTATATACTGCAAACACTGAAACAAAATTGATGTAGGGTTTGGCAATCAGCTTCCCTTATCAGGTAAGTTTGAATAAAAATGTCTGTCACTGTTCAGTTATATCAAATGTTTTATTGTTGGGCATTCACATCCATACCCTGCTTATAGTTATTTCAACAAATGTCCTCATCATATGTTGCAGTGAATTTTAAACATTATGATATCCAGTTCATTATAACTGCTCTCAGCTGTAATTTTACCCAAGTTTCCAGCACACCAAGTTCATCTGCTCCTTTACTGACACATACATGGACATGAAGATTCTCTGATAATTTCAGAAGGACTAATCATCTTCATGATATAGTTTACATGAAGTAGTAAAATTTGGATGATGTGAGTTCAAACTCATTTTCTGATGAAAACAAAGTATCTGCATCTCTCAAGTTTGCTAATTTAGCCTAATCTTTTATATATGACACAGGCTTAGCTACTGATGCAATTTGCATTACCAAGACTGTATGAGAATCATACTATAAATTTCAAAACACAGAAGACATTCTTTCTTGGAATAGACCTCAGTTATCTTATTCTTCTGACATATTTGGGTCCAAACTTTTATACACCTGAAGCCAGGAGATATAAGAATGCCCTTGCCAGCAGGAGGCAGTGGTTTCACTTGCACAGGTGTTCGTCGTTTCTTCTTCGGAGGAGTTACTGGAGGTGCTTCTGGAGCTGGTTCATCCTCGCAGTCAGGAACTTGACGCATTGCTTCCTGAAAATAGCAAATATATTGATATGTGAGGCAAGACATTCATACTCAGTCAGCAACCTGATGCATTGCTTCTGAAAACAGCAATTATATTGATATGCGAGTTTGCACACAAAATAAGGCATATTAAAAATATCCTTGTGTCCCACATATACATTTAGTTTTAGCAACTGGATATTAAACATATGGGTTTTGCACTAGTCTTTCTCCAAAGACTGTTGAACCTGCACAGACTAATCAAAACAAATTACAGTAAAATGTTCACCAACGATGAATTAAAAAATTTAAAACTGACAAACAAAAACTAAGTTTCTAAAAATGAATAATTCAATGAAATCAAAATTACCAATTTCTAGCAAAATAAAAATATACATATGTGACTGAACTTTCAGCACAATTTCAAGTGGGTTATATTCTTAATGCATATACAGGGGCTGGAAAAAAATATGGAAACACGTCATGAAATGCATGCCTGAATTGAAGTGTTTATTTTAGCGACATTTGTAGGTCACGCTGTCATATCTGCCCAACACCACTAGCTGTACAACCTCCGCAATACATTGCAAGCTTCATCTGTTGTCGAGACAGCGTTCTGTGCAATTTTTTTGTGCATCACGTCAGAGCTAACAGAATTCGAACGTGGGCAAATTGTTGGGGCCCATATGGTGGGTGCTTCCATAACCAAGGTAGCCGAAGTTTTTGGTGTTTCGCAAGGCACAGTATCCAAGATTATGATCACATACAGGAGGACTGAAAAAACCGCATCCGATAAATACCAGTGTGGACAGAAATGTGTGTTGAGTGATCGAGAGACGAACATTGCGTAGGATTGTGACGAAAAATAAGAAGACTACACCTGCAAAAATGACTGCTAAACTGAATGTCACACTCACAAACCCTGTCAGCACCAAAACAGTACGAAGAGAACTCCACAACCAGGGTGTTTCTGGACGAGCTGCATTTCCAAAGCCACTCATCAGTGATCAAAATGCCACTAAGAGGACAGTGTGGTGCCGAAGTCATAAAACCTGGACTATGGAGCAATGGAAGACGGTCATTTGGTCGGATGAGTCCACCTTCACACTGTTTCCGACTTCTGGCTGAGTTTACGTCCGGAGAACGCCATCCCAAGCTTACGATCCAGATTGTTTGCTACCAAGAGTGACACATGGCAGAGGTTCAATCATGGTATGGGCAGCCATATTGTGGTATTCTGTCGGACCCATCATTATCCTGCAAGGTCATGTCACTGCCAATGACTATGTGACCATTTTGGGTGCCCAGGTCCATCCCATGGTGCAAACTTTGTTCCCTAATGGTGATGCCATTTACCAAGCCAATAATGCCTGTGTTCACATAGCTCACATTGTCCAGGACTGGTTTTCTGAGAACGAAGATGAAGTGTCATGTCTGCCATGGCCCCCACAATTGCCAGATATCAATAATACTGAGCCTTTGTGGTCTGTTTTGGAGAGCAATCTGTGTGCGCGCTATCCACCTCCATCATCGATAACAGAACTTACCATGTTTTTCAGGAAGAATGGTACAAGATTCCCTTGCAAATCATATAGGACCTCTATTTACCCATTCCAAGGAGACTGCAAGCAGTTCTGCAAGCCAGAGGTTGTCCTACACCATATTAGTCATGGTAATGTGTATTTTGTTGGGTGTTTCCATATTTTTGTCCATCCCCTGTACTATAAACTGTGAACCTGACCTACCTCAATTAATCTCATCTCTTCCAAGTCAATGTCTGTCTGTTCTCCCTCTTGTTGAAGGGCTTTCTGCAAAAGCATAACATACTTTGAATTAATATACCAGTCAATCATTATGGAACTGTCTTATGATGGAACCTCATGCATTTTAACAAGTTATGAATTTAGGAATAGGGAAAGATGGACTGTCATGGCAGTTAATGTCTAACAATTGTCAAACTGTTAGAACAATAACTAGGAAGTTACAGTACTGTATATAACGTCTGCGGCCTTAATATTTTGATTTTATAATCTGAAAACTCCAGAATATAATTCTACATCTTCTGCTGCCTCGTGTTGTGTTGTAGGAACATATACACTTTGTCATTAGGATTTCCACTATCAGATATAGCTTGCCAATCAAGAAGTTTGGAAAAATCACACTGCATATAGTAAATGACTATGTCTCTAACTTACATTTTCTGTCTCAGGCAACTTCATATGTAGCTGCAATATGAGGGTTATTTATTTCATATTGATAAAGGTATGCAATAATGAGTCTGTAGAAGCACAACATTAAAAAGGCCCAAATTTATGCTATCTGTTTCTGCTTGCATGTACCTTGATTAAATTATCAGCAGCATGCTTCAATTTGATCTGTCGTCTCTTCTCTTTCTCAAGCCGACGCTTCTCTTTCTCTTGGCGTCGTCTTTCCCGTTCTTCACGTCGCCTTTCTGCTTCTTCTCTAGGAGACTCAGATGGCGAGAGGAACGGAATTGGAGCCTCTGCAAGGCACACCAATGACACTCTTACAGATTTTATGTTTTTGTGGCAACAATTCCCTTACAGTATTCATATAATTTATGAAGTGTAAGAAATTTCTGTGCAGAAGAGAACAGATGTGGAAGTAGGTCCCATAATAAACATACAAGTGTCTCGCCAGTACTGCTGTCATGAGATATCCACATCAAACCAGATCTAGTTTCCCAGTAATTCTATATTACCCAGACAGAAAACTTCAAAATTTAGGATTCAGACTGAACTAAGCCTCATATAGCCTACAGAACATACTTTCTGACCTTGGAATACATTACCACAATCTCACTCCAATCTCTAAAACCCTGTTCACTTCCTGGCTCTCAGATGGTTCCTTTACCTACTACTCAAAGACAAACATACACTAACGGATCAACATCAATAACATGTTCCTTCTTAAAGCTCTTGTAAGCTTCATGGCTGTAAGACACAAACCAGGACAGGCCTCAAAGTGCCACATGACACCATAGGATCCAGTCACCTGCTTTATATATATATATATATATATATAAAAGAACACAATGTCAAAGCCATGGAGGTGCAAGGAATGGCATGGAATAATATTATCACTTGTTAGAGTGACAATTGGCAGGTTTTCTGAATTGGACGTTCAATGTATTGACCATTTTAACACATGATTTGTGACTACCCTTAACTATAAGTCTCACAGATTTACACTCCAAATATCACTGTAAATACAGCATACACATAAAGTCTTCTCATGATGGGGGTCAATAATCTGACTGCTCCGGCATCCAAAAGTGTGCCAGGAAGAGGAAGGTTCTCAACAGTGCTGATGGCCTAGCTCAAAACTCTATTCATGGTCCAGCTGCGACCAGTGGCAGGGACTCTGTTGTCCACTGTGGTGAACAACAGGGCATGGTTGGAGATATCCTGCCATCAGCAAAGCAGTAAAAGGTGAAACTTAGGCTCAATAGGTACAGGACTGTCAGTACTATTCTGATAAATGAGAACTCACTCGAGGTGTGCGACACAGATGGGGAATGTAGAAAAGACTGGTCCTCTGGCAGGAGTGTGGGTGACCATGCTGACAGGGCCATGTTGATAACAGGGAAGTTCCCAAATACTGCAGAATCTGATTTAAGGTTTCCTGATCTAAGAGATTTCTTAATATTAAGTTCACGTTTTATTTGGACATTATCTATCATCTGGAGATAAGGACTCGCTCTGTCAATTGGGCCCAAGTGAGTATGTTTTCACCTGAGGATGGAGACAGAATCCAACCTCCAAAATGTTGTGTTTTAAATAAAAAACAGTACAATGGATAATGCCAAAAACATAATACTTACTTACTTCCTTATGGAGCTCAGCCCTTCTTGAGAAGCAAATTCTGCAGCCACTCAAGAATTTCCTAGCATTTTATGGAAGCCAAAGGTTCATTACCATGTTCACAAGAGCCCTCCACTAGTCCCTATCCTGAGTCAGATCAATCCAATCCATACCATCCCATCCTATCTCTCTAAGATCCATTTTAATATTGTCCACCAACCTACGCCTTGGTCTTCCCTGTGGTCTCTTTCTTTCTTTCTTTCTGGCTTTCCCACCAATATCCTATATGCATTCCTCTTATCTCCATTCATACTACATGCCCTGCCCACCTCATCCTCCTTGACATGATCATTCTAATTATACTTAGAGAAGAGTACAAGTTATGAAGCTCCTCATTATGCAGTTTTCTCCAACCTCCTGTCACTTCATCTCTCTTTGGTCCAAATATTCTCCTCAACACCCTGTTCTCAAACACCCTCAGTCTATGCTCCTCCCTTAATGTCAGAGACCAAGTTGCACACCAATACAAAACCACAGGCAAAATTGTAATTTTGTGTAGTCTAAGTTTTACGTTTTTAGGCTGCAGACAAGAAGACAAAAGGTTCTGGACTGAATGGTAGCAAGCATTACCAGAGTTCAATCTCCTCTTAATTTCCTCCTCAATCAGGGTTTGAGCAATAAAACAAAATTGTATTAATATACAGTCATCACGAACTTTCAGATCTTATTCATTTTTTAGTGTTTTGCCTACATTTGGTAGAATGAAATCCGGTCCCTATATGAAATCTGTACCGTGACAGTCAAGTACCTACCAGACTACACAATATTATAACAAAGAAGCCCAAAATATAAATAAGATTCACATGCTCAGTCAGTAATTGTAAAGAAAGAGGGTTCTATCAGGCACACAACACCATGCACTCCATCAAAAATCAACTAATATTTCTGAGGAACATATCACCTCCATCTTCAGGGTCAAAGAATAAGCCATACAAGAAAACACCACGAGGCAGGCAATAAGCACTACTTTCAATCTGGTTTCTTACTTGGTTTATTCTTCAGTCTTGAAAGATAGAGGCAATATGTTCATCTGAAATGTCACTTCATTTTCAGTAGACTGTGTGACAACCGAAGTCTTCATACTTGCCACTGTGAGAACCTCAAATCCTATAATTGTTAAGATCATATGTGATGTACCTACCTGCTACCAGAGGTACCATTTCAGCAGATAACAGTGGCGCCTGTGGCTCGCTGATAAGGAATGGCGAGGCAGGAGGGGAATACCCGGATGCAGATACAGGGTGTGGTGGAAATGCCCCTGAGGTGGTGTCCACTGTTATAATTGAATTAGCTGGTGTAGCAGGCAGTGGCAATAAAGGGCCTGGTACTATGGGCAATGCATGTCTTTGGCTCGGTGGGACCTTAAAAAAATCAATTCATAATTGCAGCATTATTAGAACATAGTACACAAATTAAGAAATTTGGTGATGTGGCAGTGCACTACCAGCCAGACTGGAGAATTCTCCAATGCCATCTCTCCTTAAAATGGAAGAGAGAGAGGAGGTGCAGGAGGAATATGAGAGAAGGAAGAGAAGTGGTATTACTGAAACAAATTTTTGCAACCAGCTTTGATATTCATTAAACTGCTCAATGTTTTAATGAACCTATTATAAAAGACTTATTGTTAATGTTAATAATATTAAATACTGAGCACAAGCTGATAATTTATTTCAGCACAAAAAAAAAAGGCTAGAGGTCATTAACTTTTCAAGACAGATGGCATAAGGAATGCACTACAGTGTATGCTGCTGTTCAGAAAGTTGAAATGTTTACTCCTCTTAAAAAAGTAGTCTTATCCCCAGATAACTGCTGTCTCTGTTGAAAGCACAATTGTAACAATGCAACAGTAATATACCTTGGCAATGGGACTGTGCCCTTTGGACATTTCTGTTGTCCCATGAGTCTGAATGCCAGACTGAGGTGTTGGAGGAGGATGAGCAATCGTCACCTTGGCCGGGTCCACAACAACAGGCTGATGAGGTGCAGGAGAGAGGCTGGCTCCAGGTATAACCTGCAACATGTTTCCCACCTGAAATACCTGTGTGCCCCCACTCCCACAAGCATTTGGCACAGGAAGGTTCTCACTGGGTATGACCTGCAACATATTCAATACAGGCAATATGTCATTAATGTAATTAAAATATCTGATTTATGAACAATTTCATTTAAAACATGTATCTGTCAGAGTTTATGACTAATCATGAAACATAACAGGTTTGCAAAGACTAATATATAGTGTATAGACACAGACACGACATCAGCAGAACAGAAATAGTAGGCAAAATTCAACAATGAATCAACATTGACACAGGCCATGACATAGCTCAAGTGGTTCCCATCGCGGTGGCCCGGGTTCAATCCCAGGTCTGATAAAGTGGGATTTGTGGTGGACAAAGTGGCACTGGGGCGGGCTTTTCCCAAGTACTTCGGTTTCCCCTGCCAATCTTCATTCCACCAAATTCTCCATCACCATAATCACCCAGGGCAGGTTACAATAGGCCAATCAGTGGCCACCATGCCGAGTGGACCCAGTTGGACTCCACGCCCCACTAACATTGACACTGAGAATGATTGTTCCAAAATATCTCAGAACTACTGCAGCACAGATGACAACAGAAATCAATATGTATCCTTCTTACCCTTGTTTCCACAAAAACTATCTGACGTGAGCTTTGCAAATCCAACATGCATGGTAGTGCTGCAATTGTCAAACCTCTGATTACTGAATGCAATGCTGAGATGTATAAATGATGGTGTCAAGAGTATAAAACCTGGACGTCAGACAACATCTGGAAGAGTTTACATCTGAAGAACACCGAAGGAAGCCTACAATCTGGAATGTCTGGTTCCAACAGTCAAACAGGGGGGAGGTTCTGTGACAGTTAGTTTAGGCAGAAATATCGTGATATTCCGTTGGTTCCATTATTACCATTGATGGCTGAATTACTGCAAGGGTGTAAGTGGACAAGCTGGGTAATCAGGTTCATCCCATGATCCAGATGTTATTTTAGAACAACGATGCAGTTTTTCATAATGACAATGCTCCCATTTACACAGTTGGAACTCTTCAATCATGGTTTGAAGAGCATGAAGGTGAACTTCAACATCTTCCCTGGCAAGCACAATCACCAGATCTAAACATTACTGAACCAATCTGGTCAGTTTAGGAGACAAGAGTGAGGAACAGGCTCCCATCTACAACATCTCTAAAGCATCTTGAAGATGTACTTCAGCTCTGACTCCATTGTCATCACGGAGAGTACTAACAGGATTAAATTCCTTTTATGTTATTCCAATGAATCTTTATTGCAATGTTGCATAAAAAAAAGAAAATGGTGACAATTTATATACCTGAAGCACATTGCCTGACTGAAGGACTACCGATTTATGGGCTTGTGACTGCTGAGCTGGGGGTGGAGGTGGAGGCAGAGTCCCAAGCACACTGCCAGGAGGCAGATCAGTAGGAACAACCTGGAGCACATTCCCCACCTGCAAAAATCGTAATATAACGTATGTTTTAATATGAATATGTATCTTTAGAATCCATTTCCATAGTAGATATGCAAAGTTCATTTTCAGTTCTGTAAATTCGAAAACATTAAAAACAGCTGGATATTTAAAATCATCCTATAACTAACTTTTTGACACAGAATGATTTAGCTATATACTAGGTACTTGAGGTGTATACTCTTCTACATAACATAATATTTTATTATACTTATTTGTTAAACCATGTATTTTGATGTAATATTTTTACAACATTATCTTTCGTAGTTTTTGTTTTACACTTAAAAAATAGTTTTACCATAAAAAATCATTTGATTTTGTTGCTGGATTTCTTCTAGTTTTCATAGATTTTTTGCTATTAGCCTCTATTTTTCCACATTGACACTTATTTAATTTTACAGTCTTTTTACAATTATTCAACAACATCAATTCTTCAATTTCATTTTGTGCAGATGAATTTTCTTTGTGCAAAATATCCTCTTTCCATTGCATTTGGATAGAATTAATTTCTGACTTAGATAAGAGTTGATCGATTTTCTTTGCCAGCTCTGAGGCAACAAACTATTTGCCCAGTAGATTTAGATGTTATCCATGCCTAGTAAAATGTGGTCTTTGTAGATCAATTTCCATTAGTTTCACATCTGAATTCAGTTTCCTTATTTTTCTTACTTGCCTACTGAATTTCAATACCTCTTTATTTACACAGGAAATAGTTGTAAGATCATATCTATGTAGTGTGTGGATTAGAATATTTGTCCTTTTATGCTCTTCCATAAACTTCATTAAGCACTTAAGTGCTTCATTTGTATTATTTTTACTAATATCATTTGTCCCAGCACACAAGATCAAGATATCCTTATTATTTAATGAAGCAACTTCATCTATAGCTGTTGTCAAAATATCACTCATCAAGGCACCTGGTTTGGTAATTCCCATAATATCGTATCTATGATCCAAAATAATGCAAAGTTCAGCTGCACTTTTTTTCACATGGCTATCGCCAATTATCCATATTTTATGTTTGTATTTTCTCTGACTTTCTTCATATTTAATCTTCTCCTTTGTCAAGGTATGATTCATTATATTTCTTGCTCCGAGTTCCTTCATTCTCATATTAGTCCGTTAGTGTTGTTCCCAAGTATTTTAACTTTGCCACATTGTGGCAGGCCCTATAAATTTGGAAGAAGCTCTCTATGCTAAAGGAAACACCCATAATGTAATGACCAAAAGGCCCTTAGTCCCTAAGTGTAGGTCAGCAATAATATTCTTTGTTAAGTCTTATTTACCTGCAACATTACGTCTGATACAATTCTTACAAACAGAGGATCCAAATACTATCAACAACAGCTAAGTGACTTTCACTGCTGGAGGACTGTACTCCACAGAGTTATTAATTTCTTACCTGCACAACATGAGAGCTGCTACCCATCTGCTGTGTCCCCATAAATGCTTCCGAGGCCACCATCACTGGTCGTCCATGTTCAGGTGTCACTAGCATCTTATGGACCTCCTGTGCACCAATGAAAGCTTCAGGGGAATCCCAGTGGCTCATATCAGGAGCTATATTGCTAGGAGTCGGTAGAAGTGGTGGCCTGCGTTTTGGAATGGTTGGCCCATACTTTTCTTCTGGTGGCCTTCCAATAAATTGTTTATGGTGAAGAAGCAAAGCTTCATGTTGTGGTGGGCCTGAAAATTCTTCACAAGGATGCATATAATGATGTCCAGGCATCAATTTCTCACTGCCTGACAGAGTAACAGGATTACTTTCATAATGTGGCTGAGGAGGTGGAATAGGGTAGTAGCTCCCACCTTGAAAGCCAGCATAAGGTGTAGCGTATGACTGATGTTGATGGTACACGGGAATCTGCTGTGGTGTAGGTGGCAACGGTGGTGGACTCTTCTTGACTCCAAGTTCCAATTCAATTCGGTCATCTAGGGATATTCTCTTGGGTGAAAATGATGGGGAGACAGTTGGAGATGCTGCACATTCTTCCCGAGTTTGAGGATAACAGTCCATATTATAATAACCACTGCACTGTTGAAATGGAGATGATGGATGATGCTCTTCTTGCTTCCCTGCAGCAGCAACTAACTCAGAATCACTTATGGTAGAATCAGCAAGGCTGCGCTTAAATCCAACTAATGGGGATGATGCTGGTGAACAACTGAGTTCCATGTCAGCTTCTCCTGAACCAACTCCAGTACTTGGACCCCATGACTCACCATCGGTAGTCACGGGCAATGGGATATCTGGGATATAGTACCCCGGTGTAGTACTTTCATGCTCTCTTGGATCTTCACCTATTGGACTGCGACTTCTCCTTTCAGTCCATCGACCTCTGTCTCTATCACGTTCTCTGCTTCTGTCATCCTTTTTTCTCTCCCGCCTCACCTTCTCCCAATGCCTGTCCCCTCTCCTCTCCCTTTCCCGATCTCTACTTCTGTCCAGGTCAACACTCCACCGATCTCGTATACATCTTTCATCTCTCCTTTCCCTATCTTCCTGCCTCTCTCTAATCCTCTCACGGTCCCTACTATTATCTCTCATCCTGTCTTGGTCCCTGCTGCTACTCCTAATCCTATCCATATCTCTACTACTGTCCCTCAACCTTTCTCGATCTCTACTATTCTCCCGCAACCTATCTCGGTCTCTGCTATTATCACGCAGTCTGCTCCTATCCCTACTGCTCATCCTCATCCTCTCTGGGTCCCTGTTACTCTCTCTCAATCTGTCATGATCCTTGATGTTGTCTCTCATTCTATCATGGTCTCTACTGCTCTCTCTTATTCTGTCCCTGTCCCTACTGCTTTCCCTTAGCCTGTCTCTGCTACCTCCTCCCATCCTATCTCTACTGCTCTCTCTCATTCTTTCACAGTCTCTACTACTGTTTCTGACAGTACTGCCCTCCCTGACTCGATCATCTTCTGCACTGTCGAGTTTCTCAAGGCTGAGTCGTGGATGACCCACATACCTCTGTTCATCCAACCTACTTATATCCTGATCATCTTCTGTTATCCTGCTAGCAGGCTGATCTTCCCAGCCCCTGAATTCAGGTGAAAGTGACCTTGACTGTGACCGATAACGCACAACTCTGCTTTCCCAAGGAGGATCCGCAGTAGAATTCAGTCTTGGAATGCAGTCCCCACTGTCTCCCCATCCCAGATCTGACCTCATGATTTCTCTTTTTTCATGAGAGTTCTCACCACCATCCTCCCAGTCAGTTTTGTAATCAGATGAAAGTTGTGAGTCAGAGATGCTCTTTCTGTCATGTGGTTCTACATTAGTGTTGTCACAGTCTTTATATTTTTTTCTCTGTTCACAGTCTTGCCTTTCATTTTCCATGTAATTGGTAGTCTCTCCTCTCTTACTATCCCTCTTTTCTCTCTCATTTGAGCTTTCTTCTAATCTGTTATCTTTGTCTCTTTCTTCCAACTGCCTGCTGTTAGTTTCCATGTCTTCACCTATGACTTTTTTACTTATATCCCTGTCTTCAGATTCATCTCTGGCTATCTCCCTGTCTCTCTCTTTCCCCTTATCCCTCCTATCTCTTCTATCAACATCCCTGGAATGTCTGTCGGTAAAGATTTTACAACTGTCTGAATCTCTATCATCTTTTCTTGTATTTTCAGACTGACTGGACCCTAAATCCATGTCACATTCTTCAGTGAATTTCCTTCTATTTAATATATCTTCTGATTTAGGTTCTGCCAGAACAATGTGTTGCTTATAGTTGTATGACTCTTTGTTTCCTTCTGAACAACTGCTACCAGCTACAGCTGCTGCAGAATGATTGTGATTTGTATCGCACTTCTGCTGAGAGGTGATAGCATCATCTTGTTGCATGTCTTCTGTGACGCATTTGATGGGAGCTGTCATCATGCCCCAACGGGATGGTCTTTTACGTGTGCGTTCCTTGGCAACAGCTTCACTAGACTGACCTTTCTCCTGCTTATCAACCTCTTGAACTGGTTTTACAGTTGTTGAAGACACCTGTTCTTCAGCGGCATTTGATTCCAAAATGTCATCATATAATGTTAAACTGCTACCATCAGCTTTAAAAGAAAAGCCAAAAGAAGTCCATGGATGTTTGATTTGTATTTTTGACTCTGTTTCACTGCTCTTATTCACTTCATTTGATGCACTATCCTCTTTGTGACATACTGATTTGATGCTCTTGTAATGTTCCTGTTTGTTTTCAATTCTGCTTTCAATTTCAACAGATCTATGAGAAGAATCTGCTATCTCATTAGAAACTATTGTCTGAGCTTGTATATCTGAGGTCTCACAATGTGAAGATTTACTTTCAGATGCACTCTGAAGTCGGGCAAGAGGAGAAAGAAGCTTTACTGTGATTACATGTTTCTGCATTGGGGGTTTACCTAAAGGTTTGCGCAGACCAAGCGAGGATTCAAGTGGCTGGGATGCAGATGCTTTTGTATCATTATCAGAAGTAGTAACGTGGCCAAGAATATCTTCAGTGAAGCTGCTATTGCTGGTGCTGCTGGTGCTACTACTGATGATGCTGCTGCTGCCTACTTGTGGTGCTACTGTTGATGGTAAAGGAGGCAGAATTTCATGTGATTTTTCATTGTCCTCAAAGCCATGCTGTCTCTCATTTTCATTCCCTTCACTCTGAGATGCTGGTGGTGGCAATGGAATGTTTTCCAATGACATGAATGAGTCAATCTGAGGAATATCACCCTTCAAAGATGAACCCCGACTTCTCGAACTGCAACCACTCCACTGGCCAGTGACTTTAAGATTTCCCAAAACTGATGGAGAGATACGACATGAATGCTCATTATGTATCACAGCTTCAGGCTCCTCTACTACACTACAAGGTGGACTACTCAGGCTATCCAAGGACATATCACAAGGATAACTGTCAGCCACCTTTGAATCTTGACTTGATGAGTCAATGTAGTCAGACACATTCTTTTTCACAGAATCAGAATTTAATCTACTTTCAAAAGGATCACCTGGACTATATATACTATCTGATTCTTCAAAATCTGCAACTCTGTGACTCAATTTCTGCATTTGTTTCTTTTCAATCGATCTGGAAAAACCAAAGTGGTCACAACAGTCTTCACTTGTCTCGGTGTTAAAATTCTTACAATTGTCATGTTTAATGCGTGGTTTATTGTCTTTACCGCATTCTGCTAATGGCTCATCTCCTCTGTCCTCACCAACAATTTCTTGTCTCGTTTTTCTCAACATTGGTGAACTACTGTCTTTCTCAAAATCATCTCTTTCCCTTTCAGAACTTTTATCTACAACTTCACAGTCACTTTGTCTTAAACCATGTCTCCTGTTGACTTTATTTTCATTCTGACTCACAAAATCCTCTGTATGCCTATTCTCCCTGCCATGATCTTCACCACTTGAACTAAAATACTGGGAAGTGATGTACTTGATCCTGTTATCGTCCAGTGTCACCTCTCTTTGCTTGATTTTGAATCCTTCAAACGTATCATCTGCATAACTTTCAAAGCCTGACTGGTCCACTTCTTCCATGAAGGAATGATTCCTGATTCCTGATTGGTCTACAAAATCTGTTGGGTCCAACTCCATGTCACCTTGACTATGCCCTCTCTTTCGCCCCTCTCCATCTCCATGCTTTAAATTACATCCACTATCTGTCTGATTTCTGGATGTGGCACTTTCTTTGTGCCCTTTTTCTTTTGCATCACTGGAGCTACGACGCTGTGGAGTGGGTGAGTGTTCAGGAGAAGTCGATGGAGATCGTCGACGTTTTCGACTGAAATCGTTCAAGGGTGATGCAGAACGGGAGCACCGATCGCGGCGTCTTTTCTTCAAAATTTTTCTCTTTTCTACTTCTCCTTCTTCTTCTTCTATTTCTATTGTGTCATTATTCATTACTCTTTCGTGACTATCTTCTGTAACCTTGTCTCGTTTTCTCTTAGGCCTATGACTCTCTTCCCAGCAACTCTCACCAGAAGAACTCACATCATTGCCCACAAACATTCCACGGTTTTCTTTTTTGTTCTCTTCGTTTTCACCCTGACTCAGTACTTTACAGTCCCTGCTAATATTACTATTACTACACTCTAATGTTAATGCCCTTCTGTTTTCCTTCATTATTTTTCTATTCCTTTTCTTTTGTTCATTATCTACATCAGAAGCATTTCCAAGGTGCCTTGCAGACATATCATCACCATCCTGATGTCTAACTTTCACTATCTGTGCCTCCAATTCCTCTAAGCTGATTGTGTCATCCTTATTATTCAAGTGTCTGCTGCCTGATAATCTGTGACTCCCTTCTCCTTTTTGACTTGATTTGGAAATCTTGCTTTTGCCACTCTTCTCCATTTCACCACTTGTAGAATGACGATAACGCTTCTTTCTCTTTCTACTTCTTTCTTTTCTTTTCCTGCGTGCCTCTTTTTTTGCTTTCTTTGAACTTTTTCTCCTCCTCCTCTTTGACCTCTTTCCATGAGAGGATGACGATGAAGAAGATGAATCTGAAGAACTGGAGCTGCTGCTGTCCTCAGAACTACTGTCCTCATCATTCTTCCGATAACCTCTACTTTCCTTATTTTTGTGGCGTTTACGGCCTCTTTCAGAACTACTTGAAGAAGATTCATCTGAATCTGAGCTATCATCTGATGAGGAACTTGTCTCAACTTTCCGTCTCTTGTTTCGTTTACGCTGCTGCTTTTTTCTATGAAAATATTTCTTTTTTCTCCTTGATGCCTTCTTATGTTCAGAATTAATTTTTTCACATATTTCCATGAGTTCATCATCACTTACATCTTCTGAATTCTTTCTAGCTTTCCCTCTTTTCCTAACATGTTTTCTCTTTTCACGGGTGTCTTCTTCACTAGAAGATGAACTGGAATCATCACTACTGGAGCTACCATCACTAGTGTACAATTTCCTACGACTACCCATTTTTTTCTCAATTTCCCTATTACTTTTTCGTCTCTTTTCATGTTTCTTAATTTTCAAATTCTCTTCTTCTTCTTCTTCACTAGAAGAGGAACTGGATCGTGGTCTGGAGTCCTGTTTCTTCTTCTTTTTAGAACTACTTTCCCTTCCTTTTCTAATCACTTCCTCCTGCAACATGAAATCAGTATTTACCCTATCTTCCTTACTTTCCACTCCCTCTTTGCTATCTTCATCCCATGTATCATTTACACTTAGTTCCATCTGTCGTCTCTCAAATATATCTCCTTCTGAAGCCTCCCTGTCTGATTCTGCAGATTCTAGATGCTGACATGGTTCATCACCAGAATCACCTTGTTCATCAGCAGCAATAGTTTCAGAGCTCACAGCTTTCATGAATTCCTCATATTCTGAGACAAGCTTCTGATCTGTGTTACCTTCACTGCTAGTCTCTGCACAAACCAAGTTTTCTTTGTTCAGCTCATCCGTCTGCGAAGTATATTCACTGGCATGCATATCCTCGACATCAGCATCCTTACCATCACCCCCACCTTCTTCTTTTCCTTCTTCTTCTTCATCATCGTCATCATCGTCGTCGTCATCATCATCATCATCATCATCACAACCATCTTCATCATCACTATCACCACCACCTTCACTACCTTCATCATCACCATCCTCTTTAGTCTCTTCCATTACTTTGCTTCCTTCTTCTAGATGAGCTTTCTTTTTCTGTTCTTCCATCCTTGAATTTTGCCCCTCTTCATCTTGTAATAGTTGCTCTTCTCCTTGGGTGTCTGAGCTCTTATCATATTCCCCGGTGCCCCTATTTTTACTTTCTTCTGCTAAATAATCTGGACCAGTGAGTTTGCTGGAATCCTCTAGTTCACAGTTATAGGATTCCTTTCCAGTGACATCATGGTGGGCTTCTTCGGCTGACATCATATCTTCTTCATAATCACTGTCCCACTTTGAACGAACTGTAGTCCTTTCAGTATTTGGCACACCAACAGTTACATCAGGAGACTGCATCTGAGGTGTTTTCTCTTTAACTTGTTCATTATTTGATAATGTTTGGTGGTCATTTTCAGCAACATCCATCACTTCTACTGACAGTTTCCTATCTGTTACATTCTCCCTATCCATTTCTAAATCCTCCTTCTCATTTTTGATAACTATTTCAGTTTCAGTAATTGAACTTTCATCTTTATCTTCACGTTCTGTTGACATGATATAGTCTTTTTCAGGATACCAACTTCGTTCTTTCCGTCTGCCATCAGTGACATTCTCAGGGGAGGACGGACTGCCTCCAACCTCTGCCTCATCATATGACACCTGTAGAGCTGCCAAGCTGCTGGAAAGATTCTCATCAGGTTCTCGTTTAATTTGGATCAGTTCTTCTTTCTGCTTACTGTTAATGATTTCTTTCATGACTTCCACCATCTCAGAGGTGGCATCACCAAACACTTCAGCCCGTGAACGGAACTGAGCACTGGTTGAGTCAGGACTTTCACAGAATGAAACTGGTGGCCGAGTTTTTGTGTAACGGACAAAACTTCGGGGATATTCTATAATCATCTGTGTAGGGTTTGTGATAACCAGAGGGAAACGCAAGCGAGATGGACCATCAAATGGACGATATAAATATTCCAACTCCTCTTCAGTTTTACATTCCTTATAAGCATCACGAGCTGGTGACTTACGGTGCTTCTTATCTTCCCGAGACCTAAAGAAAGAAACAAGAAATAAAACTTAAAGACATCTCTGGGAGAGTTCAAATAGTATATTCAAATCATTAAAATAAAATATGCTTTCAGAAGCAAGTAAATTCTGAGCTTTAACCAAAATTCAGTAACACTTCATGGAATTCACCTGCAAATTTGAATGACAATGCGAAAAATAACATACAAAGCATAAAGTTTAATGAAAAACAAAATTTTAGAAACTACCTGGTACACAATGTAACCCAGGATAGCACAGTCGGTGTAACAACTGCCCATGGGTTGGATGGCCAAGGGGTCAGAGCTCAAGTCCCAGTAAAGATATAATTTTTCTCTTTGGGGCTCACCCAGCATCCTAGTCAATGGATAACAGGGGCTCTTTTTTCCTTGGGGGTGAAATGCCGGTGTGTGAAGCTGACCACTCACCTCCAACTAGTGATGAGGTCAAGAATATGTGGATCTAAAAAGCCACTACCCCATATGTCTTCATGACCATTACCTTGGTCACTGATTCAACTGGCATGCCAGCCAATCTTTCCTTGCAAAACAACTCAAAGAATGTTGACTTCAAATCTTCATTCACTGCATTCTGCATTCACTTCTGTGTCACTGGCGTTCTATCACAAAGAGCAACTGACTAGTTTGTTTTTGTTCCTCAAACTGGTGAATAATGCTGAAGAAGTCAGATTAACAATATTTCTGGAGTTGTTTCTCCAAGAGGATCATTTTTTATATCGGCTAATTTTTTGACCTGTTATTCAGAAGAAACAGGGAGGGGCAGATAGACAGATATTCAGCTACATATATATATATACACACACACATAGTGATTATGTGTACCTCTGTTACTGTTTAGCCAGTTTTGTAAGGAACTGTGGTTTCGGTATATGTTCAAATTGGTATACTTCTCTATTTTCTTATATTGTTTTCACAAACTGGATACATGTTTGCCCTATTACACACATAGCTGACAACTGACATCTTTACTGCAGGTTGGCATGACATATTGTTTATTACTGTGTTTGACACTGTGGGTTTACAATATTGACTACACCGCAATGTAACATGACATGTAATATGACGGCTTACAAACTTTCCAATTCCAGTAGCTTGTTTCAATATGTACTGTGTCACTTGCCTACTGAACAGGAGTTGAAAAATGTGGCTGTGCTGTGTATTGTTTAGGTCAAAAAATGTTCAACCCTAATCATGGCAATGAACTGAAAATGTTTAATCTTGAAAATGTAGCTTGAAGTAGCATGACTATGTGAAGTTAGCAGCCCGTCAAACACAGGACCGGGAAGATGGCATGGACTGACTTCACCACTGTTCACTGTTTCAAAGAACAAAAATAAAAGATGATTAGTTGTTCTATGTAATTGAAGACCAGTGATATTTAAACTAATGCATAATGCATAAATTGATTTGAAATATATGAGGGTCATACTGAAAGTCATGAGCAACAATTTTTTGTAAAGTAACATGCTTTATGATTGACAAACCAAATACACCACCTCAATCTACAGACCTTTCTTTATTTTTCCACATAATCGCCACTTCTCTGTACACATTTCTCCCAGCGTTCTTGGAGTTTGAAAATTCCCCTTCTGTAGAATTCCGTTCCAGCCATCTGAAGACACTGACGCACTGCTTTCTGAATTGCCTCCCTTGTCTCAAAATGTTGTCCACGCAGCTTATCGTTCACAAATCCGAAAAGATGGTAGTTGGAGGGTGCCAGATCAGGGCTATAGGAGGGGTGTGGAAGAACTTCCCACCCAATCTTTGCAATTGCTTCCAATGTGAGGCGAGTGGCATGGGGGCAAGCGTTGTCATGCAGGATGATGATGTTTCGTCCCAGACATTTATCGCACAATGTACAATGGACCTTGTGCAGCATCTGGACCTAACGAGCAGCACTGATGGTTTGCCCAGGTTCCAGAAATTCGGCCAGAATAAACCCCTCTGCATCCCAGAAGACTGTGTCCATCACCTTCGCAGCTGATGGCACTGTCTTTGCCTTCTTTTTTGATGGAGAATGCAAATGGTGCCATTCCATACTCTTGCTGTTTCGTTTCAGGCTCGAAATGGTGAAACCAGCTTTCGTCACCTGTCACAATACAGAGCAAAAAATCATTGCCTTCATGTCGATATCTCTGCAGCAGATCTGAAGTGATGGCTTTTCGCTGACTTTTGTGGTCTTCAGTCAATAACCACGGGACCCAACGAGTACAAACTTTCCTATAGCCCAAGCTTTCAATCATCTCCTGTACTGCACTGTGCCCTATTCCAAGTTCTCAGGCTATTGTGTTCACAGTCACACACCTGTCATCTTGAATGATCTCGTCCACTCTTTCCTTGTTGCATTCAGTTGAGGCTGTTAGAGGATGACCGCTCCAAGGCTCATCTTCGATGCTGGTGTTCCCATCTTTAAAATGTTTCATCCATCTTCGAACACTGCTCACACCCATGCACACTGAAATCTCTGATGAATTTCTGCAGCAGGGATTTCCTTTTTCACAAGAAATTCAATGACAGCATGCTGGCGAAATGACATATAGTTGTCGGCCATTTTGTTAGGATACTGGTCACGTGATGCAAGCTATTGATGTCACAAGACACTCAAGGTTAACACAACAGCTGGTTCCACCTACCACCATACTCTCTTTTGTCTGCTGTTCCCAGATTGCATGTAAAAAAAGTTGCTCATGACTTTCGGTACAACCTACGTACATTCTTTGAGTGCTTTTGCCAGACAAGATCATCTGTCAAATTGGCTGAAGGAACAATGATCAGTTACTTCAGGATGCTTAGAGGTCAAGGACTTCCAGTGTTCTTAGTGGAAATATTCCTGTTTCAAAGCAAGAAAAGGCATTAGTATGAACAAAGTGTCAGGTATCTATTCTGCATTTTAACTGGCCTGTAATAATATGAGTAGGTTTGACTTTAAGTTTGTGCATTATGAACATACAACAAATAGTGAACAGGACCTCTGCATACGAAGGGGACTTCTTATTATACTGTCAATTACAAATAAATGAGATTATGTAAGTAGGAAAATATTTAAGTTCTCGGTTCTGATAATATTACAGAAGACAAGAATCTGAATTATTCGTCATTATTTCCATTACAACAACTTATTTAAAGATTATGTATTTTGCCCATTTTATGACACCAGTACCTGCTGGAACAAGCATTCTTATAAATGTTATAAATTTACATTCTATCGAGGCTCCACTGTACACTAACCATTAACAAATTTTCTTTGTCCTCCTCACTTGTTATGATGAACATATTGGGAAAAATCTCTTGTTTTACATGCAAGTTTTCCATACATATGTTAAGAAACTGGTTCTAATGGCATTTGTCACTTTAGTAAAGTTCCAGTTATATGCTATGCTCATTCTACTGTGGTTTCATTATACTTAAAAAAAAAATCCGCTATCCTTTACAACAGACAGCTTGGCCAAAGTCTTTCCTATAAAAGAGAAACACATCATATTGATACAGATGCTGAAAAATAAAATGTTTCCCAGTTCAGCTACCACTTCCAAGCTGGAAATGGATCTGCAGTAAACCTTTGTGTCTTAAATCAGACTAAAAGAAACTGGCTGCAAAAACACCTGCTGACTTTGTAGTACTTTGTTTATCTGAAATATCTGTAGTCCAATGTAGACTGGAGTCAACACAGATGTCCATGACACAGCAGCACTCATCCACTACATCCTTTACCGTCCTAATGTCACAAATGAATGACAGTGGCAGCAACCTGAGTTGGCCTAATGTCACTGATTTATGACACATGGCATGTGCACTCTTTGTCAGTGCTGACGGTTTTATGTTGGGTTTGAAACCAAAACAAACCCACGCAGGGTCATGTCAGAGGTTCATTCCTTAGCTCTGAACATAGAAATCGTTTATCACGGTACTGGCTTCGATAATATTTACGTTTATATATGAGTGTTCGTGACCTGGTCAGCCAAATATAGCCCAGCTTTGTTCTGAGAACTGAAGGGGAAATATTCGTCAGTGCTTGCAGATCAGTGCTTCAAGAACTTTCAAGAAAGTGTGAAGTATTCAAGGAATCGTTTTCAGTGGTGAACTATCAGTTTGGAAGTCAGTGTTGGATTGTGTAATATTTCTTTTTCACGTAAAAAGGTGAGTGTCAGACTATCATATATTTGTAAGTTTTGAGGTTTTCACGGCGATGACTATGAAGAAAGTCGTCTTCTGGGATATGACGCCGTGTATTCGTGGTTTTTACCGACGTTTCGGAGGAACGTATCGCCTCCATCTTCAGGGCAGATGGATCGTGTTGCGAATATAGAAGCAGTAGCATCTGTATTCGCAACACGATTCATCTGCCCTGAAGATTGAGGTGATACGTTCCTCCGAAACGTCTGTAAAAACCACGAATACACGGCGTCATATCCCAGAAGACGACTTTCTTCATATCATATATTTCTTTGTATATTATTTTTATTTTGTGTCTCGGAAGAGGTATAAACCCACTGAGCCAGTATTACTTTGTGAGTAAAGGGCATCTTCGTCACTGTGACTTTCGGTATCAGTGTCGGACTGGCACTCTTTTCGACTACTATTACAGTCATTATTTTTTATTGCTAGTGGGGTGGGACTAAGTCCCTTGTACTGCTGCCACTTCTAGCCTATTGTTCCATACTATTACAGTTACTTTGCATCACTATTTTGTGAGTCTTTGTCAGTCAACATAATTTATTCGATTTTCCAGACCCCCCCCCCAAGATGGAACCTCAAAAACGTGCCCGGTATTCCAAACGCCTCGATGCAGAAGAACTGCAAGAAATATTGATGGAAGAGGAATCGGATGAGGAATTAGATGATATCAATGACTTCACTGATCCTCGACCAGGTATTTTGTCGTCATCATCATCATCATCATCAGACAACGAGGCAGAGGAACCGGAAATTAGGTTTCGTCATAGAAGACCCGGGGATTTGCCAAAGGTACTAGACTTCACTGGTCCTCCGAGTGGAATCAACAGATCAGCTGCCCCAAATATAAATTCACAGTCCTCTCCTTTTTCCATTTTCATTCTGTTTTTCCAACAAATATTCCAGATCTTGGTGCAAGAAAGCAATAGATATTTCCACCAATTTCTGGCACGCCAAGATGCTCCAGGCCCCTCTGTTCAACCCCCTGACGTTACAATTGAAGAAATATATAATTTTTTGGCAATAATAATTCAAATGGGCCACGACCAACGGGACACCCTCAAAGATTATTGGTCAAGAGATGAGCAATACTACACTCCATTCTACCGTAACACCATGGTACGAGACCGTTTCCTTCATATTTTGAGATTCCTACATTTTGAAAATAATGACGCTCCTCCAAATCGAGATGACCCAGAGTATGATAGGCTCTGGAAAATTAGAAAAATTTTTGACAATCTGAACAACAAATTTTGTGAACTTTACAATCCAGCAGAGCGTCTTGCTGTTGATGAAGTCATAGTGTTGTTCAAAGGAAGAGTGATTTTTCGGCAGTATATTCCAAAGAAACGCAAAAGATTTGGTATAAAAATTTACAAGCTTTGCGATTCTCTTGGCTACACATATGACATGACAGTTTATTTAGGCAAACAAAGACAACTTGCGACAGAACAAATTACATCAACGCATGGCATTGTTCTCCAGCTAATTCGAAGAGTAGAAGGCTTGGGACACAAAATTTACATGGACAATTATTTCAGTTCTCCTGCGTTGTTTGACGATCTTTTAGACAGGAAAATAAATTCATGTGGCACCGTTCGCAATGATAGGCGTGGAATGCCACAAGACATTCGGCCCAAGTCAATGAAATTGAAAAAAGGGGATGTTGTCACAAGGGTCAAGGGGCATCTAAGTGTTGTTCGTTGGAAAGACAAGCGTGATGTGTATGTTCTGACGAATTTGCACCCTCCTCCATTGGAAGGCAACTTCCGAGATGAATCTGGCCATGCTGTCAAACCCCATGTAATTGAGGACTACAATGCACACATGGGCTTTGTGGATAAATCTGACAGGATGGTAAACAGTTATGGCATTGCTCGGAGGACATGGAAGTGGACAAAGAAGTTGTTTTTCCACCTTCTAGATATGACTATTCTAAATGCATATCTATTACATAAGTCATGTGGTGGAAAAATGACACACAAAAAGTTCCGCGAAGTACTGGTGCGGGATTTGATTCTTGAATCACATGAGGCAAATCTCACGGTCAGTGGCGTTTCTCGGGGGAGGCCAAGTTCATCTGGGGCCCAAATGGTGCGACTAGAAGTGAAACATTCGCAACATTGGCCCGCAAAAGGAAAACAAAGACGGTGTCGTGTTTGTTCGCAAAATAAGAAACGAAAAATGACGTTTTATTACTGCGAAAAGTGTGATGTTGCGCTGTGTGTCGCGGACTGCTTCCGGCGCTGGCACACGCGAGTCAAAGTGTAGCCTGAACAAAATATTATTGTATATAGTGATTTTTACATCACCACCATGATTCAAGGATGAAGAAAAAACAACGGGTAAGTATTTTGGAATTTCATAACATATATAATAAAGATTATATTTTGCATTTCATGACAAAATAATCACAGTTAATTTTCATTTGTAAAACTTGTTCTTTTACGTATGTGTGGAAAAATTTTACTGTCTTTCAGGTTCTTTTTAGTTCATATTTCTATGTTGCATAGAACGTAGCTTCGTAGTAAATGTTTTCAGGACAGCATACGTATTCTTCGAATGTCTGCGTCCTCTGATAAATCATTCTGTGCAGGCAAAGGCGTATTGTGTAGGTGACTGAACCAAACGTTTCGTATAACGGAAGATTACACTTTTGTTTCCTTCCGTGTGAAAGTGGATTATAGTCTGTCTATTTCTTGTTATTCGAGATAACCGATATACGACAAGTGCTGTATGGGTTGATATGCCCTTGAATAATTTCTTATAGCACTTAGAGCCTTGTTTCGTCAACGCTATTAGGTACAATTTGAACCCAGGCTAGCATGCCTATGTTGCAATGACAAAACAAACATGGCCCTGTTTAGTAGAATGAAAGCTAAGAAGCAAACGCATATAAATCGTGTAGGCATGATGAAATCAGCCTCTCCTCTCATAACACTCAGTGGCCTAGACCCCGCGGCACTGGCATGGTGTGGAATGTAACCAGAACAGGGGAGACCAAAACTGCATAATTCTGGCATGCTGCTATCAATTTTTATGGAATTTTTAATTTTTGCCGATAGCTTCGCGTAGGGGCTATGGAAAACCACAGACAGGGGGATTTATTTTTCAGTTTTAAAACTTGATCTTTTACATATATGTAGAAAATTCTCTTGTCTTTCAGATTCTTTTTAGTTCATATTTCTATGTTGCATAGAACGGAAAATATGTATTTTTTTCTCAAGGTTTGCAAAGATCATCAATTGGGGCGATTTAAATTCCGGCCGTAGGGAGCTGCCGGCAATTTAAAAGGCCGTACGTTAAAGGTTAAACATTCTTATGCTGCCCCTTCTAGACAGTCCTGAATATGCCCCTTCCTCTGTAACAATACTACATAAGCTTACCGGCTTCTGCGATCCCTGGACCTCCTACAATGTTTATCTCTTCTACGACTGCCACTTGAGCTGCCTCCCAGATCTCGGTCATCTAACTTCAGTTTGAGGCGTCTAATCTCTTCTATACGATAACCACCTGAACGAAACTGAGTCCAGTTCATGGGCAGTTCTGTGGGTGGAGCACGGGATCGTTTTCCATCCTTGTGTCTATCTTTTCCACTCCGACTGTGTCGTTCCTTGCTTCTTCTCCTTTCTCGCCCACTGGCCCTGCGTCGACTACTGGTGCCTCTATCAGAGTCTTTTTTCCTGTCTTCCTTTCTCCTCCCTCCATCATGTCTTTCAGATCTTCCTCCATCTGCCTCTGCCTCAGAATTCACTGCACCTTTGTCATTACTGTGTTTGTCACTCTGTGACAACAGGCTGTCTAACAGTGACTCAATTGCACCTTTCTGCTGCTCCAATAGTGGGTTTCCACTTAAATCAAAGTCATCCTTGGGTTTAACTGCAAAACATAAACAGTATGATAAGTTCTCAAACTTACACATAAATGTTAAATGAGAGAAAACATTAGATTGAGGAATGTTAAATACGGTTCTACTGTATGTGGAACACTGAAAAAAGCAAGAACTGGCATCATCTGCTGAAAAACTGGGATTACAGTACTACAGCATACGAGGGGGGACCCAAAAATAACCGGAAACGACCTGTTGCATGCGCATGCTTTGTAGTTACGAGTTGTGCTGCTAGGTGGTGTTAGCTGGGGGTCTCCCACGACTGTTAGTGAGCTGGCGTCAGTCTGAGTTAAGTGGTTTGTCTGTGGTGCTCTGTTGTGTGCGTTCCTGTTTCAACCCTTTGGCGATTAGTGAGATGGCCGACCAGAAGGAACAATTCTTTTAAGAAATTCTGGATCGTTCTGCACTTCACTCTTCAAGTCGCGGCAAACATTCACGCGGTTTTCTCTTTGGTCATCTCCGAGCAAGCGAGGAACAAATTTTGCAGACACCCGTCTCATGTGCAAACCTTC